TCTTCTGTAGATTCGCTCACCATATGCTCGGCTTGCACAGCTGCGCAGGATACCATAGCCTGTCCTGTACGTTGGGTTTGGCCATCATTAACCTGGTCCTCCACGTATAATTATTATTTATTATAACTAATAAATTTATTATTTTTTATTATTTAAAAAAATATTTTAATTTCTTTTTTTTATTTAAATTATATATTAATTATATTTAAAACATATTTTAAATATATATTAAATATTTTTTAATTATTTTTTTACAAGTTATTTAATAGATATAAAAAATATATTTTTATTATATTTTTATTATATTTTTTTTGATATTAAGATGACCTTATTGGTTTTTGACTTTTATTAATGACTTTTGGTAATGTGATTCTTTGAACTATTACAAGATAGTATACAATTGGCTATATATGTAACTTTTTTATATTATCTATTTAAAAAGTCTGCCCAAAAGTTTTCTATCAATTGCCATACCTAACATCTCTGCTTGAATATTCTACTTTAAACTTTCTGTAGAGATATTAAATTGTGAATCTAGTCTGGTTCAGTTCTTAAACCTGAAATGACAGTCCAAGACTTAATACAAAAAACTGTTAGTTGATCGATCTTAGGACTGGGTCCTAAATTAGAATCTTTCAAATAATCCATTCAATTATATTAATACTTTATTGTTAGACATTAAAAAAACTTTATATATAATCAAAATTTTTATATTTATTTTATAACAAAATTATATATATTAATATAGAAAAATTTTATATAAAAAAAATTTATATATATATAAAAAAAAGAGTTATATAAAAATGAATTTATATAAAAAATAATTATATAAAAAAATTTTTTTATATAAAAATAAAAAAAATTTTATCATTTTAAATCACTAACATTACTTAACATATCTAGTTCTTTATACCAGCTTTTCAAGCACAATGATGTATATGCAACTTCAGGATTTATACAATTTCAAATAGGACTAATTATGTGCTTGGCAACAGAAAAAGCTTGCTCACAGGGCACACTAGTTGCCTGCACAACAAGAAAGTCCATTGCAAGGTAAGCAAGAGTCAGATACTGAACAGCATTTGCTTTCCACCAAAGAAGTAGTTCTGCTTCAGTTTCAGGATTAGCCAAATACTTGTCAATTTTATATTGTTTCAAGTTAGCCTGATGGAAGCAGTTGAAATTATGAAAAAGCTTGCATGTTGTTTTAGTAATAGTAGTAGTAACAGGTAGGGATAGTTTATTTTTATTAGTTTCTTTAATTATACTTATTTTTTGTATATTTTATGAAGTTTATTGATAGCTTGTTCATGTTCATAAACATTATAGGTTGAAAGTTTATTGCATAAATCAAGAAAGTCTAAAATTGTTAAAGATTTGTTTAGATAAGCCCAATATGATGTAAATTTTGTTTTTATTGCATTAGTTATAGCATGTTATGAATTAATTTCTGGGTTTCTATTATTGTTTAAATGTATTATAAAACTATGAAATACATGCACAAGTCACCTTGAATAAAATATTTAGAAGAAGATAGCATCATAGTTGCATGGTATATGGGCTCAAAAAGAATTAGCAAATCTTGTAATTTACATGTAATTAAAAAAACATATTTAATAATAAAAAAAATTTTTTAAATTAAATTTACTAACAAAAATTATTTTTCATTCTTGTTCATTAGAATAATTTGATTTTAAGGTTTGGTTGCTTACTACAAGAATATTGGTTATAGGATGGATTCGTTAAAGTTTCTTTAACATAATATACATGCTATTCTATCTAGTATTAATATCTGTTTTAGACATTAAAAATAGAATATTTTTTAACTCAAAAATTTTTTTTAATGCTTAAATTAGTGACAGAGAATTTTGAAGCTTTATAGAGAACTTCTGTGCTTTAAAAATTTCTTTGCTTATTGATTTTATTCCTTCTTCAACTATAATATTAAAGATGTGAGTACTATAATAAAAATGGTTTATATTTTGGTTACTAAACTCATTATTCATTTTCTCTTTTAGAATATGTCTTATTGCAAGCATATTCACAGCATTATTAGTTGTAATTCCAAGAAGTTTTTGGCTAATGTCTATTTTCTTTAGAAGTTTAAAAATTGTATCAGCTTGATTAATTGCAGTATAGGTTTTATTAAATGAGATTATATCAAGCAAGATTCAATTCATTTTCTATTCAGAATCTATCCAATGCACAATTACACCAATATTAGATTGCTGTGTACATGATGTCTAATTATCTATTGTAATTAAAATTTTTAATTTAATTTTATTTAAAAAAAATTTAACATTAGTTTTATTTTTAAAATACTTTTAACTAATCTAAATCAAGAGTGTTTGACAATATAAGAGACAATAGCAAGAATCAAGTTCTTGTAAGAATTTAATAAACTCTGCATTTTTGGCTAATAAAAATAATTGTTAATCAACAACTACCTATCTTAAAATTTTATTATTTAAAATATCAACCTTGTATTTTTTATTTGAACTATAAGGGTCAAGTCATCAAAGTTTAGATTATCTAATTTTAGTAAATTCAGCAAGATAAAAGCTTTGAAAATGCTGATTAATAGTTGATATTGCAGTTTGATTGTCAAATTCTTGTGTACATAATTGGTATTTATTATTTTCATTAGAGGTTTTTTTAAGATAATCCCTAATAGATGCTCGATTATATGTAGAAGAGGTTTTTTTTTTATAGTTTATATGTTTTATTTGGAAATAAGGATGTGATTTCACTACCTGGAGATAAAGGTATAATTTCATCACCTGAAGATAAAGTTGTGATTTCATCACTTAGGAGTAAAGATGCAATTTCATTGCTTAGAGATAAGAATGCAATTTCATCACCTAATAAAAATATATTTTCATCATTTGCAAAAGTTTCAGTATTCATTAATTCAAATTTAAATTCAAACTGATTTGTTTTACTAATAGGTTCAAATTCACTAGACATTTTTTTTCTTTATGTTTTTCTTTTTTTTTGATATTTAAATAAATTTTAAAACATAATATGGCTTTTGTTTATTAAGAAAGGCATATTGCCTTTGTTACTTTATTGTAGAAGGCATATCGCTTTCATAACTATACTGAAAAAGGCATATCACCTTTGTTATTTATTGAGAAAGGCATATTGCCTTTATTATTTCACTATAAAAAGCATATTGCTTCTGTAACTACACTGGGAAAAGCATATTACTTTTGTTATTTATTAAGGAAGATATATTGTCTTTATTACTTTACTATAAAAGGCATATCGCTTCTGTAACTATATTAGGAAAGGCATATCACCTTTGTTACTATACTAAGAAAGGCATTTCACCTCTGTTACTATACTAAAAAAGGGATATTACTTCTGTTACTACATTGTAAAAGACATATTGCCTTTGTTACTACATAAAGGAAGCATATTGCCTCTATTACTATGTTGAAAAATGCATATTACCTTTGTTACTATACTGAAAAAGATATATTATCTTTGTTACTATACTAGAAAAAGCATGAAAAAGACATATCACTTTGTTATTAGTTAAATTTTCTAAAGCATATTGTTTTTGTTTCATTAAAGGGTTAAGGAAAATTTTTAGTATTAGTAAAATTAGAAAATTCATACTACTATTGTTAATATTAAAACAGATGATTCTTTAAATAAAGTACTTTATTATTAATATGGTAAATGATATATTGCTTTTATTTATTGATTCTTTCACACAAGCTGATTTCAAAACAAAAGTGTTTAACAAATATAAGTTATACTTCTTTTGTTTAATAAAAAAATTAACTTATAAGCTTAACCTACCTCTTATTTTATATTTAATGCTAGAAATGGTTTACTTTCTTAATTTTGTTATTACAGCATTAGCATGAAGAATAATAAAGCACATTATTGTTATTATTTAAAATCTTCAAATCATAAAGTTGTTAACAAACTAGATTAGTTAACGAGTGTAAGTTATTATTAAATACTTAGTGCTTTAAGTTTTATAATGATAAATTTACTCACTTGTAGTTATTTAAATTCAGACATAGTTAATTTAAAATCATACTTTGTGTTACTAAACATTCAACTGAGGGTTAAAAGATATTCAAAATTAAGGCATATGGCTTATTAAAAAAAAAAACCTTATTAGTGGCAAAAAGGTTAAAGGCAGAAAGCTGTTCTAACATCTAGCAAAGCAGATCCTAGGATTTTTAAAAGGATCAAGTTCAAAAGTTAATTCAGGATTTAAACCTTATATAGCTCTCATGTGATTGAAGGATCAAGTCTCTATTGATTCTTTAAAGAACCAGTAAAGACTGGTTAAGATCTGATTCCAAAAGACTAATTAACATTCCTAACTTTTTGAACTTGTAATCTGTATTAACTTACTAGGTCATACTCAGATGCCCAGATTATTATTTTAATCTTAAAACTATTTTATCTTTAAGATAAACTCCTCAAAACCTTCTGTATTTATTTTTATAACTGATCTAGATGTTACTATGATAGAACCAACACTTGCAGTTAGAACTTAATCATTAAACTACTATGTCTTTGTAGAGTTTACTTAGACCCTAGCATCTACTTCATAGTATAAATTTGGTACTTTAGTATACTTCTGAATTTTGTCAAACTCCTAATTCAAATAGCCTATATAAGATTATGACTAGTTAATTAATATATTAGATTAGCCTAATATCTTTTTTCTCAGATTCATTCTAGTAGTCTGGTTGGTAGTACCTCTAAGACTTCCAACTTAGAGGTTCTTGCCTGTCTGATTACTAAGACCTTGGTATTTGTTTCTCTGAGTTAGCCTTTACAGTAGCATTATCAAAGATCCAGCTACTTTTCTACTTGAATCTTTCCAAATAGACTTTTTGTTACTCAATTTCAATGAATTTACATGGTTACAAGAATTTTTATTATAGGTATCCTAATTCAATCATTAGTAACAGTTGCTATAATACAAATATTATATAGATGATTATCCAAATTTTTGCTGTTGATGAAATTTGAATACTCAACCTACTACTTAGAGAGTTAACAATCTGACTACTTCATTAGGTTACCACATTCCTTATATTTTTATTATATATTTATTATATATTTATTTTATTATATATTTATAATAATATTTTTTTTTTTTTTAGTTAAACTAATCTTTTGAAAACTAGGACTTTTTTATTCAGTATAGTAGAACATGATAGCTTGTGGTCTGATTACCTCAGAGGAGCTATCTTATGTTAGAGAGTATATTTAGCTACATGTACACTTTTGGTGTCTAATTTAAATAGTTTGCCTATATATAGGTTTTATACTAACTGCCATATCTGCAACCTAACTACAGGTGTTGTCTATTTAACTCTTTGTACTGCAATTCTTACTGTATCACTAGAACATCTCTGTTACATAATGTCAATTGAGAAGTTTTAAATGCATACCTATATTCTTAGAACTCCTGTCTTATTTCATATAGGTTATTCTTAAGACATTGTTACTAGAGCTTTCTGTATCCTAATTTACAGCTAAATCTAGTTTACAACTCTTGTAAAGTTTATGCAACCCCAGTACCCTCTATTTACAACCTTACTAATATCTTATCTAATCTTGCAAATTCTTCTATACTACCAATCTAGTTAGGCTTGCATAGTATAACTTCATGTCTGATTCAATCAATAGCTAAGTTGGTAAACCTTCTACTTAAAGGTTCTTGTCTGTACAGATCACCTGTTTCAGGTTTTCTTCTTTGAATCAAGATCTTTACAGGTGGCATTGTTAAAAGTTGTATTACTTTTTTGCTTGGGATTTTCAAGCAGGCTTTTAATCTGAATATATGCTTTCCAGATTTATTCATATGATATTGTACACTTTCAAAATTAGTCTTAATATAACCAGAATTACAGGATCTACAAATCTCAAATTATGGATAAGTTTGCCAAAATAGGACTATTTTTTCAAAATTTGTTACTAATAGAAATTGAACATTGGACCTACTGCTTGAAAGTTAATAACATATTTATAATAATATATTTTTTTTAAATATTAAAGTTTCTGTCTTTGAGAATCAATTTTTTTATTCAAATATTTAGATACAGATGCCTCCAGAGGCTTCTATACATAGGAGGTTTCAACTAGCCATATATGCACTTTTGGTGTCTAATTTAAGTAGTCCATTTATATATTACTATACAAGTTCTACATTAGGTGTCATACTTGCAAGCCAACCACAGGTCTTGTCTATTTAAACCTTCTGCATATATAATCTGACTTGTGATAACAGGAACATCTTCTGGACTATCTCATTTAAAGTATCTAATGCTTTTAAGACACTTAAAACTAGTTTATCTTTGACAGAAAACTTACTAGAACTTTTTATATCTTACATACAACTAATTTAGTTTTATGCAACATACTATAGTTATCTAATACTTGCAATTACAGGAGTTACCTATTTAACTATTATGTTATACTATTTTTATTCTTGTAAAGTTCTCTAAAACTCCAGTACCTATCATCATAATGTTTTTTCTATTATCTCTTACTAACTGCTACTTAGGACCAATAGAACTCTCTCAACTTCTAATTCAGATAGCCTAGTATGATATACTTATATATTCTTTTTCTTTAGCAATTCTGGTAGCCTGGTTGGTTATATGCTCCTCTATACATCTTGATATTTAGTTTATCTACCTATCTTTTTGATGGTGTTTTATAAGCTTCTATTAGTCTAATCATACCATCAAAGTTTATGCTACTTCTTTATTCAGAAATTTCCAAATAAGCTTTTAACTTGTCAGTTTCTTAGTTTACTGTACCTAGTGGTCTTATTATAAATTTGCACTAAAGTTTTATACAACACTAGTTATTAACATTCCTCTATGTACATGTAATATTATACTTGACATAGATGCTTTAAGCTCACATTCGAGATAGTGCAACTTAAAGTTACAGATACACAAATTTAACTGATTGTCAAAAGACAGTTTGCTGTAATACAGATTAATTTCCAAATTTTATCATAGATGGGATTTGAATCTTAGATCTGCTACTTGAAGAATGACAACCTGACCACTACACTAGGATTACCATTCTCATATATTTATAATATTATTTTTATTTTTTTTTTTTTTGGTATTAAGGTGAGGCCTTGCTTATATCTTTATTAGTAATTTAAAATAGTTACATGTATATATGCTATGACCGAGGCCAACACTTGCAGTTAGGGCTAACCATTAAACTGCTA